CTGCGTCCCGGAGGCTGGACCCGGTTTCCTCCCTCCGATGGGCTGGAGCTCTGGCCTGGCAGTTTCAGCTCTGTGCTCACGAGTGTGAGGTGCTTCTTACCTCTCAGTGACTTACTGGGGTAAGAGTCACTGCGGTGTCTTCCCAGAGCTGCGCTGGAGGCAGGTATGGGAGAGGGCACGGACCAAGCCAGCCCAGCCACGACTGGTCCTTGTGAAAGCTGAGTAATGGGTTCATCATTACGCACCATAGTGTACCTTTCTATCTACTTTTGTGTATGTTTAGTCTTCTAACATAAAAAATGGGGGAGGAGGAAGAGGGGAGAGGAGGAAAAGAAGAAATTCTGTACTCCACCTTTTGAGCCACAGGGAGTCTATTCCTCTGCCTGAGGAGCCCCGTGAGTCCCGTGAGCCCCGTGAGCCCAGGACCCCTGGCCTGGCTCCTCTGGTGCAGGAGAGGTCAGGAGCACGGCCACCCGCATTCCCATCCCGGCTGGTCCTTTTTTTTTTTTTTTTTTTTTGTCTTTTTTTGTCTTTTTCAGTTTGTATCCGTACCAGGGATTGAACTCACGACCGCCTGTTTGCAAGGCAGGTGCTTATGCCACTGAGCTAAATCCCCAGCCCCCCTCCAGGGCCTTAGGCAGGAGAGCTCACTTCCAAGGCTCCCTCTTCTGCCAGATTGAAGTGGACAGGAGAGTGATTTACATGCCCGCAAGGAGAGGCAGAACTCCGTGGCCTGGAGCACAAAGCCAGGCATCCTGGGATGCTCCACGGTCAGCGGGGCTTTGGAAAGACCCCGGCTACTCTTCCCAAACATCTGCATAGGAGAGGGGCCCCATTCTCCTGCAGAGGAGAGGGTGCCCATTGAGAGGGCCCATTCAGAAAGGTGCCAGACCCGGGCTCCCGTTCCAAGAGCCTCTTCTGCTTCTTCAGGAGAGAGAATGCAGTGATAAGGTCTGTAAACACCTGCTCCTGGGCACAAAGGCGGCAGCTGGCTTTGCTCATCACTGTCACCTGCCATCTCAAATGACTTCCTCGCTGACCTCAGGACACGTCTATTGTTTACTTCAGCCCGCTGAAAATTCACCCCCCAACACACACCCCCAAAGAACCTGCCTGCTCTGAAAGGGTTTGAGGTGTACAAATGTCACTTGTCATTGCTCTTCAAGATCCCCTTTTCATCTTTGGGCAGGACCCTCGTTTGTCACCTTATCAGCCACCATCTAAGGTGTCAAGAGTGAATTGTGTTTTCATTGCTCACAGGTATTTCTCTAATTCACAGTTTCAGTGACAGATCAGCTTTAACAGGCATGACTGGGCCGGGGTGTGGCTCAGTGGTAGAGTGCTTGGCTGGCGAGCTCTCGGCCCTGAACACACGTGCGCGCGCGCGCACACACATGCACGCACACGCACACGCATGCACGCACGCTGTATGCCTGTAGTAATGATTCCCGTAGGCCCACACCCCTCTCTGCTGTCCCACTGAAGAACCAGGAGTTCCCTGGTCTGAGTGTCTCTGCTCCCTGGGCTTGTTCCTCAGCTCTCAGCCCTGAGGGGTCCTTCAGCTCGCCCTCCCTGTTTCCTGCCCCTGCTGTGTCTGTCCCTCTCTCTCTTGTCCCTTTCAGATAGTGCACTTATTCATTTATGGTACTGTGTGGATGCTCTTTTGGGTGCCAGCTCTGTGCTGGGGACCAGGATGTGGCGGTGAACAAGAAGGCAAAGCCCTGCCGCGGAGGAGAGACGCGCGCGAGCTGGCCGAGTGACTGAGGCTGAGTGACTGTGGTGACAGTTGCTGTGGAGACACCCAAGGCAAAGGGGGTGCTGAGGATTAGAGGTCAGGAAGGAGTTCATCAAGGGCAAAACACTATGCTGAGGTGGGGGACTGAAGTTTGGGGAACGCTGGACCGACAGGACGGCACGCGTCCGAGCCCCTGGTGTGCTGGGGGGTGAAGGAGGCCCAGTGGCCAGGGCAGGGCACCGGGCACAGAGCATGGCTGCAGGAGCAGCGGGCCCAGATGACTCGCACCTTCTAGGCCGCCGTAGTGTCCAACCTGTTTAAGCCATCAGAGGGCTTGAGCAAGGCGGTAACCTGACCCGGTCCCCATCGGAAAAGCTGCCGGGGGACTGGGCTGCGGAGCCCGGAAGTGTCCAGGACTCGGTCAGGAGGCTGCCCACACACCTCAAGGCCTCTTCCCTGTGTTTCAGGCTTCATGCGAGTAAGTCAGCCGGGTCTATCCCTTCATTCTGATCCCCTGTTTAGCTGTTGTCATCATCACTCTGGTGGAAAGATCGGGGTCACTTGAAAGGCTTCAGCCCTGGGCTGTCACAGCCTCAGCGATGACCACTTGGTGCACCGGGATCGTCCTGGCCTCGAGCTCACCTACTGTGTGCCCACCGTGCTGTACCCATTGACCGCGCCTTGGCCCAAACTGTGCAGCTCCTCTGCCTTATTCTCCTGTCCGGGAGCGCGCCGAGGCCCCGCTGAGTCTGCTTTCTCTGTCCACCGCCTGGCTCCTCCTCCTGCCATACCGTGTCACCCCAGCCAGGAGCAAGCTGTCATGCACACATCACACACACCGCAGAGTGACCAGCTGCGACTCCTGTCCTGTGGACATCCTGAAGGTGTCCCTGGAGGCAGAAGTGAACATGCATGTCCTCTTTCACACTGCAAGCATCTTGAAATAAATTCTAGCTAAAATTTTATGCCCCAGCCCACAATAACTGAATTCACAAGGGAGGAAATCCCTGATTGAATGAAACCAGAGCACTGAAAGCCAGAACCTCAGGGAGTGCGCTGAGCTGGGTCATTGTCAGTCCTGGTGACACACAGCGGGGGCAGCACACTTCTGGCTGCGCCAGGTGAGCAATGGTTTACGGTCTACAGACCGTGGATGGCACGGCGCATCTCCTCCTCCTCCTCCTCCTTTTATGACAACCCTTTAAAGGCATAAAAACTATTCTTAGCTCATCGGTGGTGCAAAATCAGACCCCAGACAGAAGGGATCCGGGGACCGCAGTCTGCAGACCCCTGATGTGGAAGGTTCATTCTGTATTCCATGAAAACCGGAGAAAAAGAAGCCCAGGTCCTGGAGAGGAGGGGCTCTCACCAGAGGGAACAGACCCGGTAGGAAGCCCCCTCTGTGACAGGCAGGTGGCCGTGTATTTCAGATTCTTTCTCAATGATCAAAGTCATGGGCACGTGGACTCATATGACTTATATGTACTTATAAAAGTTGCACTGTTACTGAATTTAAATATATGTACATATTGATAAGCATGTTTTGAATGGAAAAGCAAATTATATTCTTCTTCAGGTGTCTTGTTGAGATTCAGTACTATCTTCAAGTACAAATGTAGGCGGCAAACCAACAGAAGTATTGTTATGACTACATCTTCTCGGATCCGGATTAGATGTTTTCACATCAAAATATCTTACATGTATTTTCTCTGAATTTATTTTTATTTACTTATTTTTTAGACAAGGTCTAGCGAGGTAATCCAGGCTGGCCTTGAACTCACGGCCGTTCTCCTGCCTTAGGCTCCCAAGTGCTGGGATTACAGGTTCAATTTTTAAAATGATTTAAATAGTCATCCTGTCTGTTCTGAGACTGGCTTTTTCTTTTATTTAGGAAAAAATGTCCAGCTTGTAAAATTTGTTACTATAAAGTTGTTCACAGTATTTTCCATAATTTCTTCCGCCTGTAGTTAGTCCTTACGACTTTCTCCGTTTTCGCCCGTACCGGAGTTTACGTGGGTTTTTATTTTTAACTTCTTTCCCGATCTCTGAGCTCCTCTGTTCTCAGGTGCTTGGAGGACGGTGTGCGCCACCGTGCCCAGCTCTCTGAATTCAAACCGCGCATTGTGATAAGATTGTTTTAGTATAGTTGGAAATTTTAAAATGTACTTCTAAGTAATGATTGGGTCATGAAGGAAATCTTCGCTGAACATTTGAAAGTACTTAGAATTTGGAAACTGACATTAAAATTATTCCATATCAAAGCCTGTAGTCTTGGGGGCAAAATATGTGTGTCCATAACAGCAGCGGCTGGCCTCGTACATGACCTGGTTAGGGCAGCTGAGAAGCGGGCCTTCATCTTTATTTCATTTTAATAATGCCAATGCCAATAACCAGAGGTGGCCAGAGGATGGCTTGTACCGGTCAGGGGCCTGAAACCCGTGTCATCCTGCGCCAGAATCAGGAGCTGGACTCTTGGGACTCTAACCACCTCACCTCCTCAGCTTTCCGGGAGCACCCTGGTGGCCAAACTCCATGTGACCCGACCAGCTTGAAACATGTCCCCTTTCTCATCTGCTCACTTCCCGTTCTGGGCCTTACTGGCCGAGGCAGTCAGGAGTTTCCTAGATGTTCACTCTGTGTGTGTGTGTGTGTGTGTGTGTGTGTACATGCGCGCCCGCACGCGCGCACGCACATGGAACGCAGGGTCTCTACACTGAGCTCCATCCCCAGCCTCTTACTGTTTTACCATTTTTGAGATAGAGTCTCATTAAGTTGCCTGGGCTGGGCTCAAACTGATGATCCTTCTGCCTGAGCCTTCCAGGACACAGATTACAGGCCAGCACCGCCACATCTGGTTCGGATGCTGTAACTGGTGTGTGGTGAGCGCACGGTCTTACGCTCTGTCAGTGAACATGGAAGGCAGGGAGCTCAGGCAGCGAAGGACTGTGACAGCGGGGCCCGTGTCCGGCATGGACACTGCTCTGCAGCGAGGATCTGAGCCTCTGTGTCCGCGGAGCTGGAACTGCTTCTGTGTGGCACCCACCTCCCCCTCCACCCCCACCAGCATCGCAGTCTTGCAATCAGAGCAGAGGCACAGCTCTTCAGGGCAGGGCTGTTTTGGGGTTCCCTGGGGCCCCTGCCTTGCACACCCCACAGCCTGCAAAGCCAGAGATGGTGCGCGCTTCCCCCTCGGCAGGTGCTTGATAGGTCTTACACTGCCTTCAGTCCGATCACTGAAAGAGGCCTGTTCTGCTTTGTTTTTCAGGGATGATAATGGTGATTTTATTGCTGCTCGTGGCTATTGTGGTCGTTGCAGTCTGGCCAACCAACTAACAGCGTTAAAGGGACCGCCCGCCGTGACACCTGCCATGCCGATAACAGCCCAGCATCTTTTTGTACACAAAACCTGCTTCCAATAAACTCTCGCAAAGCTCTGAACTCCTGATGTACACTGCTTCACCAGAGACGCGGGCCAGAGCACTGGGCTGTGTGGTCCTGCTGGCCTCCACCTTGGTCCTTTGGGTGCTAGTCAGAGGCCCCTCAAGTGCCCACTCCCCTGTGGCTGCCAATGGATTGTGGCCACCCCCGTGTGCTGGGTGCCCAGGAGGCAGTTGTGACCTGGAAGTCTGGTGTCCCTGGGTGCCCGTGTGGGAAGTGGACCTTGTGTGTCCAGTGCGTCCGGCAGTGGAGTGGACAAGGCAGTGCAGGGGGGCCGAGTGGATCCGTCTGAGAGCCTCACTTCCCTCCCTCCTCTCCCTTGCCAGGGCACCCCGTGGGGTCCCCCATACCCAGTGGTGAGGCTGCTGCTGCCCGAAGTATTTCTGGGCTGCACCTGGGAGCCACCTCCACAATCTCGTTCTGTTTCTCTATGACAGAAAAATCATCTTCCAAGGCTAAAACATCTCAGTGGTCAGAACCCAGGGGAGGCAGGCAGGGAGGAGCTGTCTAGAGATGGGGTGCTTACGAAGAATGTCACCGCTGTGCCTTTGTTCGTGTGTAGTACTAGGGGTTGAGTCTGGGGCCTGGTGCACACCAGGCAAGCGCTGTGCCGTCCCTCTGCAGCGATCACTCATTCATTCCCGGATCTCACCACGTTGCCCAGACTGGGCCTCTACTTGGTTTTTTTTTTGGTCTTTTTCCTTTTTATCGGTACCGGGGATCGAACTCACGACCGCCTGCTTGCAAGGCAGGTGCTTATGCCGCTGAGCTAAATCCCCAGCCCCTGGGCCTCTACTTGTGATCCTCCTGCCTCAGGCTCCTGAGTAGCTGAGATTGTAGGAACATGTGACCACAACCAGCCGGAACGTTGCCTTTATTTGGCCCCTGCGCTGGCTTTGGTGTGTGTGCGCGCACACACACTTGTCTGTGGTGCCTGTCTCACAAAGGGGTGGCCAGTGGGGTGGCCTGCAGAATGCCAGGCCCCCGGGCGGAGTGACTTCTGAGAGGGGTACAGATGGTCCAGCCACCAGGAAGAGAGCCACAGTGCAGCGTGGTGTAGTTTCCTAGAACTTTGAGTCCAACACTGTGCCATGTTAGGGAGATCTGGGCTCCAGGAGTCCAGACAACTGCTGGGCACAGACATATCTCCCTACTCCAAAACCCAGGCCAATGGGCAGTTACTGCGGTCTCTCTGGCAGAGGAAGAGGAAATTCTGGAGGCCAGCGGTGTCATGTTCAGCCCAAAGCACACCTACCGCCTCTGCTTCCCGTTCGTAGCAGGGAACTAGATACCACGTCCTGCTCCGGCACGGGAGACTGGGAAGCCCCTGATGGCAGTGCCTGAGATGTCAGAGAGGCACCAAGACAGCCTCGCTGCACACCAGGGCCTCCATCTAGAAAGTGGAGGAAGGAAGACCCTCCCCACCTTGTGCGGCTGCTACAAGCTCCGACTTACACGCGCAAGCACAGGGCCGGCCTCTTGGCTCAGCTGAGGAAGGATTCTTCCTCTAACCCAAGCCTCAGGCCAGCGGCCACTAGGTCTCCAAGTCCAGTTTGAGCTCCTACCACCTGCTTTGAACCAGGATGTGAGAGTGAGCCAGCCCGGAAGAGGAGCTGTTTGGACCCCGATGCCCACTCACCTGACAGTGCCACGGCCCTTGGAGCAGACTGACAGCATGAGTGGGGTCGTGTCCAGTGCGGAGATGGCAGGAGGCTGAGCGGATGAGGGGCAGGGCAGCCATGGCCAACAGGGGACCAGGCTGTGAAGGGAGCCAAGGGCGGAGCACTTGCTGCAGGTGGGTAAGTTCTGAGGGAAGGCCGGCACGGGCCCAGGGCTTTTGGACAAAACCTCCCCAAGGATGGGTTTCGTGTCAGGGCGAGGCGGTTGCTAACGGATCACCCAGTGGAAGACCAAGAATCCACAGAGCCACGTCTCCAGCCTGGTGTGAAACCCCAAATCTGTACAAACAGCATCTCCTTGGAGCCCCCACTTGGGGGCTCAGGGGAGGCAGCATTGACGGCCTGTTTGACTTTCTCACCTCCTCTTGACTTGCTCAGCACGGAGCCCCGGCAACTTGTGGGGCGTCTTTGAACCAGAGCCATGGCGTCCTGGCTCGGTCACACTGAAAGGCCCTTTCAGGCAAAACATTGAGCTGATGTCTGCACACAGTCGCTTCTGTTCTTTTTGGCTGAATGGGCTCTAGGCCCAGCCCCAACATTGCTAGCTGTGTGACCCTGGGCAACCTACGCCACTTCTCTGGGCACTGCATGGGCGGGGAAGGTGGCAGGAAGCTGCCTAGGGGCACAGAGTAAGGACCTGGCATCCAGGCTATGGGCGGTGCAAGCTGCAGAGGCTGGGGACATGCCAGGAGGAAGCCCCGGTGACCTTGGTCTTCTTCAAGGGCTCGGTTTCTCATGGGAGACCCCTGCCAGGCTGTGAGTGGTAAAGCATATCTGAGTGGCTGGCGCGTGCCATTTGCAGGGACCTAATGCCTCCTGACTCACCCTAGAGTAACGTGGCTCACGTAAAGATAGCATTTTCAGCGTGCTTTGCAAGGCCGGTTTCCGCCTCATACGCGGCCACAGCAGTCCTGGGTGACCTGCAGCAAGGACTCTGAAATCGCTGGGCTGCATCTTATGCCCTCACCCTGAGCATAAGGCGGAGCAGCAGGATGGGGGTAGCACCCATCGCCACGGGCGCTTTGTCAATGAACATAAACTGTATTAAAATAACAGCGTAGGAATTGTTTAACTTATCGGATTATTAATTGTAAGCATTTAAGTCTGGATACCATATAAAGAAATCCAGATACCCGGGTACAGCTGGTACTTCTGCTCCATTTAAACTTCATGATGATTAATACCGCACTAAGGCGTAGCTGTCATTAACCCCAGGACAGTCTGCTCCTCCCGAGCTCCCGGGCCCTGCCGGACACACGGACACAGCCCCTTCTGGGCCTTGGCGACTTCCATGTGGGGATCCCTGTGCCGCCCACAGCCAGGCTAGCTGTGCTTTCCTCCAAGTTCAGCTCTCTGGAACCCTCCTTCCAAGGGCCTGCTGCAGAGTTCCTTAGTGCCCGCTCCTCTGCTCCGGAACTGTCCCTCTCGCTCTCCTGACCGGTCTGAAAGAACCAGCAGCAGCCGGCTGTGCTGCTGTGTCCCTCATCAGCAAGCAGTGCCTTTCCTGCCTGGGAATCCCGTTTCCTGCTTCCTCAGGTCCAGCGATTACACCAGGATCATCTCCTACGTAGAGCCCTGCTGGAGTTAAGTGGGTGCCCCCTTGCTTATTTGAAGAGGTGGACAGAGGCACTTCCCTCTGATCACATCCTGTGATTTCCTCTGACCACAGGCTGGTAACAAAAGACACTGACTGCTTTCCAGAAAGACGAGCTGTCCCGCCGAGTCTGGTGGGTTCATCCAGCCGGCACCGTCTTCCTCACTGGCTCTGTTCTGCCTTTGGCTCCCCATTTTTCTTGGCGCATTTCTTGTATGTCTTTATTTAGTCTTAAAAAGATCACGGAAGGATGTCTGTTCGACGAAATCTGAGCACGAGGGGTGTGTCTGCTTCAAGTGGGCATCCCCATGCCAGGCACTGTGCCTGGGAGATGCAGGGACTGGGAGAGGGCTGGTAAACATGAGCCACCCTTGCCAGCTGCTCGCATGCCACGCAGGCCCTCTGAGCTGTGGACTGGCTGGCCCAGGAAATGCCCGATGAGGCTCACCTGGCTTCCTTGTGCCTCAACGTTCTAGATTCGAAAGTGGGCTTTGTAGAGCCCACCTTGGGCTGGTCCTTGGCAGTGACCCAGCCATCTCCTGTGTTACGCAAACTGCACAGATCCAGTGCCTTGTCTCCGAGTCAGAATGCGAGGCCCTGGGAGGTAGCTGTTCATGGCTCCCACTCTGATGTGTTTCTGAGCCAGTGTTTCCTGCAGGCCATGGGCCTGGGGCTATACCTGCCAGCACAGGGTCTGCCTGTGAGGGAGCCCCAAAGGACACAGAGCACTTGCAGGGCACAGGTAACTTCATGGACAGAAAAGCCACATAATGAAAGGCTTGGAGAACTGGACCCTTAACCTCAAATGACCACAGCTGAGAATCAAGCTGTCATATAGGCGTCACAAACCTCTTAGCCCCAGTCTCAGTGGGCCCTAAATCCTGCCAACGGTCCAGCTGGTCCCACAGACTGCAGAAAGGCTTTCTTTCCCTTGGCCTTAGCCACTGAGACCTGCCCTGTCCCCATCCATCCAGCACCAATCCTCATTCAGCAAAAACTCACTTGAAATTGACGGGACACCCTCACTCAGTCCACGGATGTGCTCTGAGTGTCCAAGGTCCTTGTTCTCACAGCCAGGCCCCCGAGGAGGCCAGGCCATCGCAGTCCCCTGAGAAGCAGCTGACATCCAGCCAGCTTGCCGCATGGCGCGCGAAGGCTTCCTGGGCCTTCCAAGGAAGGGCTGCCAGTGGGACTCGCGCTGCCGAGGGTCCAGACCAGGCCATGGCTGAGCCTGGTTTTGGAAACAGCTGGGTGCAGGCTGATCGTTTCCTGGTGCCCATCAGCTCCACCTTGGATGGCAACACAATGTGTTCCTAATGGCTGGATTGTTTATTTAATACAGAAATCACAACCATTTGGAGATTTAAATATAGTCTCTCTGAAACCCAGTGAGCTCAGCTCCTGGTGGCTGCGTGGTGCTGGCACCAGCCCAGTCTGTGCACTGCGTGAAGCCTTCAGCACTGGCTTGGAAACAAGCCTTTTGCAAGATCTCTTGAGGCTCACCAGCCCTGTTGTATTTCCTTGTGAGTCTTCTTGGCTTTAAGAAACAAGTTATGTAAAAAGCAAAAAATGACTTCCAGGTTCAAAATCGAATAGGGAAAGGTCAAAGGTTGCTTTCTTCCTGCCGCTACCTGTGAGGCAGGAGGGACAAACCCCCTTTCCTGGCATCCTGAGACCCTCCCTGTCTGGGAGCCGCAGGGAAACCGTAGGGCTCTGTCCCAGGAGCGGCAGGTCCCCCTGGAGAGCCTCCGGCTCCAACTGGCTCTCAGAGCCAGCAAGTCCAAGCCAGGCTGCACTTCCCTTCCCTTTTCGGGTGGACGGGACTCTGTCTTGGGCTGCAGAGGGCATACTCTGTAAGTTGCTGGAAGCCTTTGCCCTCCTGCGTCCCCACGTGCCCACCACTCAGCTCAGGCCACCAAGAAAGACTGGAGACAGAACAGTATACAAGAGTTTATTTAATGATAATCTGAATTTAGTTCTATCATGTGGGGCCCACATTACAAGTTCCATCTGGGTCCATTACAACTCTAACAGAAAAAACCTTAAAAAAATCCACAACTTTTTCCATGTCATTAAATATATTCATATATAATAACCATAATATATTAGTATGCATTGGAAAGGAACACTGACCCAAACAATATGTCATGGTCACAACTAAACATTTACAGTTCTGAGTGAACAGAAATCCGTAACACGAGAGGGAGCGGGGAGGGTGGGCGGGAGCGTCCACTGACACAGGGAGGGGTCTGGCTTGGATTTGGGCAGGGGCGAGGCCCCACAGGACAGTTTTGGTACCTACCCCTGGGGTATGGCGGGGCTGTGGTCCGCAGGAATGTCTGTGCTGAACCGCGGCACATCAGTGAGTCTGGTTTATCCACTCTCTAGGCTCGGGGGAAGAAAGGGGTCCTTCAAGTATTGAGACCCCAAAGGAACCATTTCTCAGGCCCTGAGAGTCTCTTCTGACTTCCATCTCATTCCCAGCTGGGGCACCCTCGAAGTCTCTACCCATTTCATGCATGTTACTACTGAGGCAGTCCGAGGTCCCTGGAGACCTTGGGCAGCCCCCCGGCCTCTCTGGGCTTTGACCACCCCACCCCGTGCCCTCTTCTCCCACCTGTAGGAACCTGTGGCTGCGGCCTCCCACCCTGCTTTCCAAGCCCAGCAGCTGGGAGGAGAGGCCACGGCCTGGAGGGGCTCCAGGTGGGCAGTCTGTCTCTGCCCGTCCCTCCGCTGCACACCCTTTGAGTTTCCCTCTGTGCATCAGTAAGGCAGGGCCGCAGCGGTCAGGAGCACCAGACCACCCAGCTGATGAAAAAAGAAGGGACAAGAGGCCCTGGGGAATCTTTTAAAAACCAAAAAAAAAGACTAATCTGGTCCTCAAAACCTACGCATCACAGTTCTGGTTAATACACTCTTCAAAATCAAACTCTAGTTCCGCTTTACTTCCCTTTCTAACTGTACAACTGGACCTGCGGCTCCTGGTTCTCATCTGCGTGTCCCCTGGGTGGGGCGGTGGCCTTGCTGAGGCTGGGTCCTCACCATGAGGTCGGGGTCAGGGAGCAGGGGCGTGGGCTGGTTCTGGGACGAGAGAGGCAGCCTGTGACCAACTGTGCAATCTCAGCAGTGACCTCATCTCCCACCTGGCTGACCTGGCCACCCTGCCGCAGTCCCCCAGGGGTCAGGTCTAGGTGGATGGCCCCTGCCCCACCGAGGAAAGCGCTGGCTGAGCCAGCAGGCGGAGCTGGAGGCTGGCTTGGGCTTGCGTTGCTGGGCAAGACCCTGGCTCCACTGCTGAGGGGTCCTTCTCCGACCCAGGGTGAGAGCCAGACCCAGAGGGACCCGCTGGGGCCGCTGCAGTCTTCTGGGCAAGATGGTGCAGATAAACAGGCCCACTGCTCCGGCATCGGGGTGCCTGCTGCTGCTAATGGTATTCACCCCATCACGCTAGGCCTAGGGCCTGGCGTGAGGCCCTTGCCCTCCAGCCTAGAGCTGCGGGGAGCCCAATGCCCCTTCCTAGAGCAGCTGTCTCCCAGCATCTGCACCAGTGTCTCCCAGAATTCCCCCCACCGTGCAACCCATGCTCCCTATGTGGGGGCTTGAGAACTGCGGTCTGCCTTGCTGCCTCCCTCAGATGAAGCCGAGTGCTGCCCTGCTCCCCCTCTGAGGACAGCACGCGTGTCCCTGCCGTCCCTCGGCTCCCTCTCTAGTCTGGACCTGAAGTCCTCCAGAGGCTGCACACAGTCTGGGCGGCAGCCCACGAGCACCCCTCACAGCCGCTGCAGGCAGGCACGGAGGGCAGGGACAGCTGAGCGGACTCCGGGTCTGAGTCCAGCGCTGCACACACTTGGAGCATGCCCTGGGCAAGTGTGCACCAGCTCCCCGCCTGGTGGGAACAAGCGAGAATCCTGTCCCACGGGATGACGGGCTGGAAACGTGGAGGTAAAGTGCCTGGCACGGAGCAGGTGCTCGTAAATGGCAGTTAAATGGTGACACGCAGAAGTGAGGGAAGCGGGAATCCCAGTCGCCAAGAGGCTGAGCCCCATGCTCAGTATACGGCGCTTTGGAGCAGCCAAGCTCTGGCAGGCAAAATGAAACCAATTTCCTGCCTGAGAGGGAGCCAAGCTTCTCATTCTGAGTGCAGGGTGTGAGGACGGGGCGGAGGCCCAGTGCAGAGCAGCCCGGGACAGCAGGAGCACAGGGAAAGGTCCTGCAAGACAACCACGCTGAAAGGCTGGGTGGGACCCGCCTGCTTGAGGAGTCTCCAGTAGTCTGGGAAGGGGCTGGGCAACTGCAAAGTATGGGGAGGTCTACACAGGGTGGCCAGGAAGGAGTGCACGAGGCGCTGCCCACGCTGGACAGTGATAGCCCTGGGCTGGCCTCAGCAGGCTTCTTAGCACAATACCCTTGTCCAGTCCCTTGGAAGTCAACAGTGAGGACAGCGACAGGAAGTGGTCAAGGTTGCCATGGCTCCCAGGAGTGTGGCCATTCCCAGCCCTGCCCACCGGGACACGGGCACCCTGGCACCTCGCTGAGCCAGCTAGCCCCCTCCCCCAAGGCAGGCCCTGCCGCTGCCTCCCCTGCCCGGCCGTGCCCTTTCCAGCTGTTGACACTGCTGAGGGGCCTTGTGGGAGCTGATGTCATTACACAAATAGTGTCATTGCTGTAAACGCAGCCAGTGCCCCTTCCCCGGCCCTGGAAAATGTCATAAAAGGGGCTGGTTCCAAGTTTCCAAAAAGGAAACTCTCTGGGAGGTTTTGCCTTCCAATGCCTCCTCCCACAGGCAGCTCCAGCGGGAGGCAGTGACCACCCGGCTCGGGCTTTCAGGGGTGACGCTGGGCCCACTGCTTGACTGGCCAGAGGCCTGGATCAGCCCCTGGCCCGGTGGGACGGGCACCAGGAGCCTCGCCCCTCACAGATGAACCCCCATCCCACACCCCGCACCCCACCCAGGAGAACCAACCCAGCAGGTGGCCATGGAGACTGGAGGCCACATGAAGAATGCTGGCTGGACAGACTTCTTCCCCTCCTCCCGTGCCACCCCAGCCTCCTCAGACGGGCCCAGGTTGTCCCAGCCAGGAGTGCTGTGCTGTGGGAATTCCTAGACAGCAGAGTGAGGGAAGAGGGGCTTTTGTCTCTCGGGTGGGGTGGTGGTTTTGTCAGGCTTGCCAGGCTCCTCTGGCAGGCTGCGGCCTAAAAATTCACAGTGCTCCTCACGCCCCTTCTCCGTGACCATCAGCGACCTGCGTCTGCGCCTGCCTGTGCCATTCTGTGCCTGCTCCCTGGCACCAAGGGAGCTGCCCCCAACCCCTCCACGGGGACCCCACCAAGCCCTAGGGAAGCGCATCTCTGCTCTGGAAGGAGCCCCGTGAGGTAGCTGCGTCTCGTCCTCATTTCTGCTGGACCCGCCCGCCGCGCACCCTGCCTGTGTGTTAACGCTGCTCCCACCAGGGGCGCGCAGGGTGGGGCCGGGGGCGGGGCCTCCGAGGGCCCCGCCCCACGCCGGCTGCGGCCCCGCCCCTCCCTCCCCCCACCTGGGAAAGCCCTCGCGGGCCGAGTCCACCGCGGGCCGCCGGCTCGCTCGCGTGCGCGTGCCCGGCAGTGGCGCCCAGCTGCGCACGCTAGGCCTTCTTGCACTTGCCCTTTTTCTCCCGCTGCTGGAATTTGCGTAGCCGCCGTGCCCACGTGTCCCGCCACTGGATCACCAGGCTGCTTTTGTCCGCCACGATGCCGCTCTGGTCAGGCGAGTCCTCGGCGTTGCCCAGGAGCAGGTACTTCTTGAGGGGCTTGATTTTGGGGCACTTGCAGGCGATATCACGGGAGCGGATCCACAGGCTCTGGTCACCGCGGCGGATGCGGCTTGTGCCCTGCTTGTACACGGAGATGATGTTGACCGTGAACTTCCACCAGTCCCCTGCCTTGTCTGCCTTCAAGATGTGGATCTGGACGGCTGCAAAGAAGCACAGGCAGGCAGGTGGGTGAGGTGGGGGCGTGGCCTAGGGGGCAGGTGGATGAGGTGTGGGCGTGGCCTAGGGCAGGTGGGGGGCGTGGCCTAGGGCAGGTGGGCCCGACCTGCTCCGCCCTCCCTGAGAGGGCCTCCCCAAAGGAAAAGGAGGCCAGAGGGAAAGTGACTGCTGAAGGTGCCCACGAGCCAGTAGGCAAGTAGGCGCAAGGGTGATTCGATCCCGCCCTGCTGGGACCTGGGCCAAGGCCACTACAAGAAGCCCTGCCTTCCGCATACCTTGAAGGCGCCACCCAATAGGACCACTGTGAACAAGCCACCTTTGGGCTTTTTATAAAGATCCGACCTCTAACAAGGTCTGGGGAAACCTCCAGGAAGAGGCCCCACCCCACCCCCAAGGCAGGTGCAAAGACCTGGCCACTGGAGAAGGACCCTGCTTGCTGTCTGCACTGCCAAAATCATCGCTGAAAACCGAACCTCCTGACGCTCACGGACCCACAGCCTGCTCTTGACCCACTCTCCAAAGCGTCACAGGCCTCAGTACCCAGGTGGAAAGGACAAGAGCTGACCTCCTGGGTGGCCACAGTGGCTCTTCTGGAGTCCCAAGTCCTCGGACCTCCTGCCCCAGGTGCAGAGCCATCACAGGCTGCACCCTCCCTCAGTGGCTCCCAGGTTCCCCCAGCCACGCCTCGTCTGGATCCCTGGCCTGCAGCTCCCCTGGTTCAGGCCTTCTCAAACGGAAGCATTCATGGGAATTCCCTCGCAGCTTCCGAAACACTGTGTGGCCGCCCCAGGGTCCCGATTCCGTGTAACTTCGGTGGGCCCAGAGCACCCAGCTCTGGCATCCTCCGCAGGTGCTGCTGCTGCTGCCCCAGGAGCCACGAAGGGGCCGACCCCAGCTCGCAGTAACAGGCATCCCTGTATTTCTGCAACGCATTAGGGGCGTTCTAAAAACAGGAAGCAAAGCTCAACAAGGGGGTAGGGGCTTACTTTAACCCGGATCTTCACAAACCTATTGGAACAAAGTCAAAAGGTTTCTTTGCTGCACAAGTTCTCAGAACCTTTAGTCTATAAACTGTGTTACCATGGTTTCCCACACAACCCTGACTGCGGAGGTCACCAGAGCCTTCGGGGGCCTACCTATGAGACTGCTGGAACTTGAGGGACACCTTCCCCAGTCCTAGGGTACTCAGAAGAGGCCTCAGGGCACTCACCTCCACTCGCATGAAGCAGCCATATCCTCCCCCTGGCAGGAGGGGCCTCCTGCCTTACTGAGCTCCCCCCACACCCATACCCTCCACCCCACTCAGCAGAGCAGTGCCCTGAGGACCAGGCTGAAGGTTCCCTGGTCACTGAGTGCACATGAACCCTCCTGAGAGACGGGAAGCAGCCTGAAGAACAGACACAGGCTGGCTCAGTGGCTTCGGCAGCCATCACACCTCCCCCACTTTAAGGCCCCTGCTCAGCCCAGCCAGGGCCTGGCCTGCCCTCCTGTACTGCCTGGCTCCTCTCTCTCTCCTTCCCTGCAGTGTGGGGTGCTGGGGAGGGAACCCAGGGCCTTGCACATGCTAAGCAGGTGCTCTGCCACTGAGCCACATCCCCAGCCTGTGGCTTCTCTCAGCATCTCTGGGGGCCACTCTGGTACCTTCACTCCCGGGGGACCCCCTTACTGTCCTCCTGCACCCACACCAGCACATGGTGACAGGAGGAGCAGGGACTCCAGGGCCGGGGGTACACGGAACACTGTCAAACCACCCTCCTGGCAGAAGAAGGGGCAGATTTTCCCATATTTTCATTTCAGTTGTTCCTGGGCATCCTGAACTTTGCACTCCAGTCTGAGGGCTCCAAAGAATGGCTGCCATGGCAACCATTTCCATGTTTTTGTCACCAAGGGACTCAACACTCAGTGTGAACTCTGAAGGGTGGGGGTGGGGAGCCCTCCAGTCCAGAGAAGTGGCTGGGCTGTGTATTTGACTGTGCAGATGGAGGTCACCGTGGCAACTGAGTGCCCCTCAGCTATGCAATGGGGGAGCCGGCCGGCCTCCCTGAGAGCCCCAGTTTCCTCTCCCCAGGACTGAGCTGCATACAGAACGGGCCTCCCTCAGACCGCAGCCGTTCTCCTACATGGCACCTCAGACCTCTGGCCCAGCCAGTGTCCCCCGGCCAGATGGGTGGGCCTGCCTCCCCGGGCTGCTGCAGAGCCACCGCTGACTGGGGCCCCGAGAGAGGCAGGTTTGATCACAGAGCCTGGACAGGTGCTCTAGGCTGAGCCCCCATTCCCACACCTACATCCCAGCACTGAGGCCCTCACCTGCGTCCTTAGAGAGTGACTAGCCTGAAGATAGGGTCTTCACAGAGAGAACTGGGAGGCGGTCCTAAGAGCGGGGCCTTCATCTAGTACCACTGACATCCTTATGGAAAGAGCTCAGGAAGCAGACACACAGAGGGCGACTGCATGAGAACCCAGAGAAGAACCCTTCCGGGTCAGCTAGCACCCTAACCTCACGCCCCTCTCCTCAGTGAATGCCCTGCAAAACCCACAGGGCACCTGGGGCAGCCCGTCCCTCCCTAGACACAGCCAACACACACCTGAAGGGACCTGCTTAATACTGAGGGTCCCCCTAGACACCTCCCATCCTGAAGAATCCTGAGGAACAAGCAATGGACACCGGTGGCCTGGGACGCAGCACCTGGCCCCCACACCTAGCTGGCTCCAGTAACTCCCAAGCTGGGGGCATCCTGGCCACAGGGGGAGACAGCCTAGGGCAGAGGAGGGTGGTGGCAGGGCTCGTGTGATTGTGCTGGAAAAACTGCACGTTTCCGCTGCCCTTGGCAACACTGCCACACATTACACAGCCCACCAAGTATGAGCTGCACACAGCACACATGCCAGGTCCCCGCAGCGCGCTCAGAGCTGAAAATATGCAGAGTACACACTGCGGCAGTGACCTCGAATGGACCTGCTCCCTGCTCAGGGGACGGGCTATCTGGCAGCGAGTGGCCCGCCACAGGGCTGCTGCCACCTCCGACCAGCTGCTGGCTCTGAGCAGGGAATGCCAGCAGTCCCGGAGCACCAACCAACCTAGAAGTGTCAGTTATATCACTCAACCAAGGGGACCGAGCTCAGCGAGCTGGAGGGAGCTCTTCCCATCCCAAGGACCACGGCCCAGGGACAGACCCCTAAGGCTCTGCTCGCAGTCAGTGTCCCTCCTTGTATCCTGGGTAGGAACCGAATGCACGGTGCAAAAGAACTAACAGGGATGTGACCAGGTCACACAGGATTCACCCACAAAAGGACTAGTATCTATGTGAAGGTTCAGGCAGGTCACTGGCCTTCCTACCATGTGAGGCCATGGAAGCACGGTGGCACCATCCAGGCAGAGATGAGCCCTTCCCAGACACTGCCTCTGCAGGCATCCCTATCTGGGGCCCAGACACTGCATCTGTAGGCATCTCTATCTGGGGCCCAGACACTGCCTCTGCAGGCATCACTATCTGGGGCCCAGACACTGCCTCTGCAGGCATCCCTATCTGGGGCCCAGACACTGCATCTGCAGGCATCTCTATCTGGGGCCCAGACACTGCACCTGTAGGCATCTTTATCTGGGGCCCAGACACTGCCTCTGCAGGCATCACTATCTGGGGCCCAGACACTGCATCTGCAGGCATCTCTATCTGGGGCCCAGACACTGCATCTGTAGGCATCTCTATCTGGGGCCCAGACACTGCCTCTGCAGGCATCACTATCTGGGGCCCAGACACTGCCTCTGCAGGCATCCCTATCTGGGGCCCAGACACTGCATCTGCAGGCATCTCTATCTGCGGCCCAGACACTGCCTCTGCAGGCATCTCTATCTGGGGCTCAGACACTGCATCTGCAGGAATCTCTATCTGGGGCCCAGACACTGCCTCTGTAGGCATCACTATCTGGGGCCCAGACACTGCCTCTGCAGGCATCTCTATCTGGGGCCCAGACACTGCCTCTGCAGGCATCACTATCTGGGGCCCATACACTGCATCTGCAGGCATCTCTATCTGGGGCCAATACACTGCCTCTGTAGCCATCACTATCTGGGGCCCAGACACTGCATCTGCAGGCATCACTATCTGGGGCCCAGACACTGCCTCTGCAGGCATCTCTATCTGGGGCCCATACACTGCATCTGCAGGCATCTCTATCTGGGGCCCAGACACTGCATCTGCAGGCATCACTATCTGGGGCCCAGACACTGCATCTGCAGGCATCACTATCTGGGCCCCAGACACTGCATCTGCAGGCATCACTATCTGGGGCCCAGACACTGCATCTGCAGGAATCTCTATCTGGGGCCCAGACACTGCATCTGCAGGCATCACTATCTGGGGCCCATACACTGCATCTGCAGGCATCTCTATCTGGGGCCCAGACACTGCATCTGCAGGCATCACTATCTGGGGCCCAGACACTGCATCTGCAGGCATCACTATCTGGGCCCCAGACACTGCATCTGCAGGCATCACTATCTGGGGCCCAGACACTGCATCTGCAGGCATCTCTAAATGGGGCCCAGACACTGCACCTGTAGGCATCTCTATCTGGGGCCCAGACACTGCATCTGAAGGCATCTCTATCTGGGGCCCAGACACTGCATCTGCAGGCATCACTATCTGGGGCCCAGACACTGCATCTGCAGGCATCTCTATCTGGGGCCCAGACACTGCATCTGCAGGCATCACTATCTGGGGCCCAGACACTGCATCTGCAGGCATCACTATCTGGGCCCCAGACACTGCATCTGCAGGCATCACTATCTGGGGCCCAGACACTGCATCTGTAGGCATCTCTATCTGGGGCCCAGACACTGCATCTGCAGGCATCACTATCTGGGGCCCATACACTGCATCTGCAGGCATCTCTATCTGGGGCCCAGACACTACATCTACAGGCATCTCTATCTTGGACTTCCTGGTCTCCGAAACCTTAAGCACTACATCTCTATGGCTTACAG